AAATAACCCCTCTCACATTGAGGGACCGACTTCTTCTCCTCCACTTAGCCTCTACGGCTGTGACTATGGAGAGCCACCTTAGCCACTTCCACACACCCCCCCTTATGCACCATGGGAAACTCCACTAGTGCTTGGTCTCTACCATTGCCACTATGGACACCTCCTATATCAACATACTTCACCCTCACGGGAGACATCTATGTACCACCATAAGTACAATTACACTTCTCAAAAGTAATATTCTCCTTTAGGACTGTAATACATTTTTTGGTGATTTGTGTTTGTGTTTCTACGTGAATTAGACTTACTGGGTAAATAATTTTTTGGTGATTTGTGTTTAGGTGACTTCTTCTTTTTCTAAGAAACTTGATTTCTGTGTAAACAATTTATAGGATCCTTCCCCAATAAATTTCATATGCGAGAGTGTTAGATGAGTGGGATAAATTGAGGTCTTTTGATGTGCCCAAAGGGGTTTGGCCATTGTGACGAGATGGAGAATTTACCAGTTTACCATAGATAGTGGCATAGTGCCAATATTTCGTCCTAGGGACAGAGATGTCTAGTCAAGAGACTAGTAGATTAATCTTGGATCTAAAAGCTCTCTCAGATATCTATAGATTAGATACCTTTGATTGTAGTAGATCACTATGCACTGATAATAATGACGTTAGCCAAAGGGGTGGTGTGTGTACACAGTGACAATATAACAATAGATAGAGAATGGGTCTCAGTACCTGTAGGCTTTTCTTTTATTTATAGAAGTTACATATGGGTACTGGAATTCTAGACTTTTGGTGCCTCCTCTAAAAGCTCATGTTCAGGTTCATTGTTGTTATTAGGATTAGTATCTTGGATTGATACTTTCCTTTAGTTATATTAGTTTCCTTTTTTTATTGCTTATTATTAGGTTTTATATAGTGTGGGCCTCTTATATAGGTCCATAACAAAAACCACAGGGGATGAAGTGATAAACCATGTAACCATAATAGGTAAAAAAAAATTATTCCTAAAAATTTTAAATAAATAATTCTGTTTAGCTCATCCCCAATTTTTTACCTATTCGGTTAAGCATTTTTAGTTTTTCTTTTCTTTTTTGGAATATAAAATTACCTATAATTCTGTTGAAATTATAAGTTTTGTCTCAATTGTAAAATAAAAAAATATAATTTAACTATAGTTATAAATTTAATTTTGTTTGAATTGTTTATAAGGATATCTAGAGAATGCCTATATATAAGTGAATTAAATTTATTATCTTTATTTAATGGGTGTAGCTCAGTTGGTAACACAAACAAAGTAGAGTGGGGAGAGAACTTGGGTTTGATTCTCACCAAATACATCTTTGAGGGAGGGACGAAGAGCTTTAACAGTGACTAAGCCTCAACTCAGGATTAATGTTATAACTGGGTCAAAGAGTTGAAACTTATAAGGATAGATAAGTGTATAAGTCTCAAAGAGATAATTAGAATTGGTATACCAAAAAAAAAAAAAAAGCTTTACTAACTTTCAAATTTAAATGCAATATTTCTTGGTAAATGATAGATAAGTGTATAAGTTATGATTTGCATGTGTCTTGAACTTAAAATGAGTTAATCTCTTCCCCTAATTTATATTAATTATATGGGATATGATATTGTTACTACTAAATAATGTTACTACCATATTTTAAATGTAGATTTTTATTAATCGACTGTTATCATTTTCACAAATCAAACTCATTAATTAATTATTAATTTGCAATAAATGATAACTGTTAAGATATGATAGTGATATTGGTAATAATATTATTTGGTAGTAATGATATCTCATCTCTAATTATATTGTAGGTTATGGCTTAACCATAAGTCCCACAACTTAAAGTTTTAGATTATATTGCTAAACAGTATTAGTTTTGGGCTAGCAGCCCTCCCCAATTACCAAAATAAAAACAAGCCGTTTATTTTTGATTTTATTTTTCTTCAAGGACTATTACTCTTGAACTTAACTAATTGGATTCAGCCATTCGGCTCTTAGCTGGTTGTTTTTTCTCTCAAGCCAACCAATGATTAAAACTCAAAAGTGAGAACTGAAATAATGCGATCGATTCAAATTTCAAACCTGGCGTCAAAAACATGGATATACCGCTATTTAAGTACCATGGATATACACACATAAAACATGGATATACCGCTATATAAGCTTTATTAATATTTCATACATTATTGTTAACATCACAGATGGCTAAGCAGGAATTTATTTAATACAAGCGCACACATGCACACTGGCGATTTTGATATACTATATAGCCTGCTTAGTGAAATAGCAACATGATCATAACAAGCTTAATTAATACCACCTGTTCCTTCGCTGGTAGCATTGGTCGGTTTCAACATCCACGTCCTTTTCATAGACGACTTCACGAGCCCCATAATCAGCTGGTACTCGCTCATACTCTACAACTTCAACCCTCTCACGAGTCTCTGGGTTGTGATGCCTGTTGTGGTGGTGGTGGTGGCTGGGGTACTGGTATCCCTCAATCTCATCTCTCTCATAAACAGTCCTCATGTCCACGTGACCATTGTGATATTGAGGGACCTCAGTCCTGCGAATTTCTGACATGTGGGTGTGGTAGTCGTTGGATCTCAGCATTGCTCTCTCTCTCTCTCGGATACGTTCTCAAGTATTGACTCAAGCACAAGATTAAACTTGGCGAGTGGATATATATATAGAGGCAGACATGAATGCTCTTCTTAATTTATTTTCAGTATTCAAAGTGATAAAAATTGAATCTAATTCCCTAGCTTTTGATAGTGTCAAAAAAGTAGATTCCATTCCTCCACATTAATGTTTAGAATAGCATATACGGCAAGAATGGACATGTGAATAGTTGAAAAAAAGAAGCAATGCTTAAGTATAAGCTATTAAACATACAGAGATACCTCACCGGGCAAGAGGACTTTGTTGGTGAGTGATATGTAATTCCTCACAGAAATTTTCAAAAAAGTTGGGAGGTGTTCTTTAGTACAAGTGGGATATTGGTGTGTGATCTCACTTTTAACATTTTTGTTACCAAAAAAATAATATAGAGAGATACTTGTTTAAAGATAGATATCATTTTAACATGATTAATTAATATATGAATTTTTATGACAGGCTGTTCTATTGAAGAATTTTTCCAGAATGGACTGCTATAATTATTTCGGCTCACAACTAGAAATTTTGATTGTTTTATTCTCTAAATGTCAGTTCACAAAATTCTTTAGAAATGCTTCACTTATATTGGACGAATATCATGGGGCCACCTAGAATATAGAATTCTAGCCACATGCTAGTTCCGCGAGAAAGCCTTTTAATATAGAAGTTTGGTCATGACTCATGGGTGCCTCGAAGAGTTAATTTCCGTCTTAGATGGACGCAACCAAAATTATGATTCTGCACAAGATTGGCACCATTTTTAAATAAATCAAGATGTGTTCACATTTGTAATTCCCGGTCAAAGTTTGAGGCGTTACTTAGCATGTATGGTTCAAAATTATGTATTGTATGTAATGAGGCATATAGGGACCTCTATTTCATATGTCAATTATAACATGTAAAAAAAATCCTTCTCTTATATATGATGCAGTTGAAAAAAAAATTGTCAATTTTGATGATGGTCATCACCGTACTTCTATTAAGGTGTCATTTAATGTATGGAATTAGATTTGAAATTTGAGATTTAGAATCGCAATAAGACATTCTAATTTCAATGTGTGAATTATAATTAGAATTCCAATTTTAAGCTTGATTCCATGAAATTGAAAAATACTAGTTTATACCATATTCAATTCTTAGCTTTAAACCCTAATAGAATTCAAATTCAATTCAAAATTATGATTTTATATCTTTATTCTTTAATTTGTTCGAAACATATTTGAACAAGTAAACTCAACATCTAACAAATTCAAACAATTTATTTAAAAAACAAGAAGAAAATGAAACTGTGGGACTGTAACAAAAGAAAGAAAGCGCGCTTTCACGAAAAGGGAGACTAAGAACGATAGAAAATAGAAAGAGAAAAAAATAATTAAGGCCAACTAGGACTCTTGTAAATCATGATATTAATACTGAAGTAAATCAAAATGAGATGACACGTTAGAAAGTTTGGTGAAATCTCATGCAGAGAATGACTCGTAACCGTAGAGGTTCATAGCTGTATTCCATGAAGGGCAGGGTATGTCAATCTAAGGGGGTACTATGTGAAGTAATTGTAAACGCCAAAGCTCAACATGAGTTTCCCATAATGTTGTGCATGTATATTGCAATCGGGGAGTCTGAATAGGTGGCTAAGGTGGCTCTACAATGGTGCAGAGTAATAGCTTCTCCAATGATAGATCTGAAGATGCCTTCTATGAGAGAAGGAGAATATTTAGATAAGAGAAGTCACTTTCAAGCGTGGGAGAGAAAACTCTCATAGCTGTAACATCTAGTCACTGAAATTAGGCATATTATGCCCAATGTCAATGTATAAAGGTAACGATGCAGTGTAGGTGTACGAAGCACCGATACGCATTTTCGATACGTTATTTGATGATACAGGATGTCGATTATCAAACAATACGTTTTCGATACGCGTATCCGATACGTTGGAAAAAAAATTTAAGGAATATCGGTGCTTCTTAAGATGTCCTCTAAAAAGATTTAGATACGAATGATAAAAGGAGTCCGTGAGTATGAGCTTAGGTTATACTAACATATTAAGTGGATCCGACATCACATCTCAATTCAAAATCTTAATGCATTGGATTCATGAATCCTTCCACTTATATAGAGTTCACTTAGCTCATTATCAATCAATATGAAATTCCATCACATTTAAATATTTCAACAATAACAGGTATGAAAATTGCAAAAAAAAAAAAAAAAATGTAAAAACAAAGCAAGCAACGGTGTCGTTTCAAGTTTGGTTGAGGTGCATCACATTGGCATAAACCATGAGGATGGGAACACACAAACACAAAAACTGAGCAGAGCACAACATAATGGTGGGAGGGGTGATGGCGAGAGGAACAGTGTTTCCCTCCAAAACCACATCTACCGTAACCGTCATTCCCCAGTTCCCAGAAAACCCAAAATCGATGATTCTGGAACAATGCAGGAACCGCAAGGATCTGAACCAAATCCACGCCCACCTCATCAAAACCCGCCTCATCCTCAGCCCCGCCGTCACCGAAAACCTCCTTGAGTCCGCCGCCATCATTATCCCCGAAACCATGGACTACGCCCTCGAAATCTTCCGCTCCACCCACCAACCCAACTGCTCCGCTTATAACGTCATGATAAGGGGCCTCACTTATCAGCACTCCCCTCTCGAAGCCATTCTCTTGTTCAAACAAATGTGCAACAACCTCGTACCCCCCGACCACTTCACTTTCTCCGCCGTCTTCAAAGCCTGTTCCAGGCTCAGAGCGTTGACCGAAGCCCAACAGGTTCATGGCCACGTCATCAAGCGCGGGTTTCACTCCAACGAGTTCGTCGAGAACACGCTGATTCGCACCTACGCCGCGTGCTCTGCTGTCGAGGTTGCTCGAAGGGTGTTCGATGAAATGCCCGACAGAGGCCTCGTTGCTTGGAACTCCATGTTGGCTGGTTACGCCAAGAGCGGTTGCTGGGACGAGGTTGTGGGGTTGTTTCTTAGAATGCGGGAACCGGGTGTTGTTGGGTTTGACGAGGTTACATTGGTTACTGTTTTGAGCGCGTGTGGTAGGTTGGCGAATTTGGAGTTGGGAGAGTGGATTGGGGAATATGTTGAGGATAATAATGATTTGAAGGGGAACCTTACTTTGATGACTTCGCTTCTTGATATGTACGCCAAGTGTGGTCAAGTTGACACGGCAAGAATGTTGTTTGATCAATTGGAACGTAGAGATGTTGTTGCATGGAGTGCTATGATATCTGGGTATAGTCAAGCTAATAGGTGCAGTGAGGCTCTTGGTTTGTTTAGTGAGATGCAAAAGGCTAATGTGGATCCTACTGAGGCTACTATGGTTAGCGTGCTCTACTCTTGTGGGGTTCTTGGAGCTATGGAAATGGGTAAATGGGTTCATTTTTATGTAAATAGAAAGAAACTGAAGCTCACTGTTACTCTTGGGACTGCACTCATTGACTTCTATGCCAAATGTGGGTCTATACACAGAGCAGTTGAGGTTTTTGAGAAGATGCCCATGAAAAATGTCTTCTCTTGGTCTGCGATAATTCACGGGCTTGCTAATAATGGCGAGGGAAGAAGAGCTCTGGAGTTCTTTCATTTGATGAAGGAAGCAAACCTTCAACCAAATGATGTGACTTTCATTGGCGCGCTTTCTGCTTGTACTCATGTGGGTCTGGTCGAGGAAGGTCGAGCTCTTTTCCGCAGTATGAGCAAAGATTTTGGAATTGAACCGAGGATTGAGCACTATGGTTGTATGGTTGATATTCTTGGTCGAGCTGGTTTGATTGATGAAGCATTTCAATTTATTAAGAACATGCCTATTGAACCAAATGCAGTTGTTTGGAGAACACTGTTGGCTTGTTGTAGGGCACATAAAAATGTTATAATTGGGGAAGAATCGTTTAGACAGATAACTCAGTTGGAGCCAGCTCATAGTGGAGACTACATACTGCTATCCAACATATATGCCTTGGTGGGGAGAAGTGGGGATGCTCTGAAAGTGAGGTCTCAGATGAGAGAAATGGGGATTAAGAAGTCACCTGGTTGTAGCTTGATTGAATTGGGAGGGGTGGTTCATGAGTTCTTTTCTGAAGATGATGAACATTCTCACTCAAAACAGATATATAGGGCAACTGAAGAGATGATCAAAAGAATTAAGTCAGCTGGGTATGAGCCAAACATTACAGTTGCAAGAATAGATGCAGAGGAGGAAGATAAAGTAGTCTCTGTGTCTCACCATAGTGAGAAACTGGCTATTGCATTTGGTCTTATTAAAACTCAACCCGGGGCTACCATTAGGATATCAAAAAACCTTAGAGTTTGTACTGACTGCCACAATGCCACAAAGATAATATCGAAGGTGTATAATAGAAAAATTATCGTCAGGGATCGGAACCGTTTCCATCATTTCCAAGAGGGGTCATGTTCCTGCAATGATTTTTGGTAAAACCAAGCATCTATGCTATATAAGAACATTATTGCGTGCTCATTTTATCTGTTAAGGCCGAAGCGCTGTGACGTATTGTTTCAGTTCGTTAGTCGTTGAATGCGGCTAAAAATAACGAGAGGGGTAAGGGGATGATTTGTAGTCCATCTCTAGAAGCAGAAATGGTCAGCAAGAAGGTAGATATTGATTTAATGTTTTCACGAGCTATTTGATAAATTAAGTCACAGAACACTGTGACCCTGCAAGATCCAATTGGATAAGGCTTTAGAACCTCTGGCTTCGTTTTATCTTCATATACGCGAGCAATCATCAAACGCAAGAACCATTTCTTGATTATTATTTTTTTCAACTTCTACTTGAAATATTATTAATGATTGTCTAGAAGATCGCGTGACAAAATGTAAACCAAAAAAATAAAAATAAAAAACAGTACAAACCATCCGTGACTATTCAAATACTAAAATTTTGATCTTTGTCTGGTCATTGTTTACATAGGCTACTTGTAATGCCTATAACTGAGACGTTACCCACAATACGAATGTTAAAGCAAATGTCTGCTAATTCCATTTGTCCACTACGTTTACTAATTAAAATATATCCGTACATGGCAAGGTAAAGTGAAATGAAGGGGATACTTGTCTCATTGGGTTGGAACGAACCGAATTCAAGATATCAAAGATATAATCTAACGTTTTATGAACTCAAGGTGCAACTCCTAACAACGCTGGATGGTAGTCCACGTTACCAGACCGAGATCCTATGCATACACATCTGTGTCAGATGAAAAACATGCTAGGTCCCAAAAGAGGAAAAAAGAACTAAATTGCAAGTGAATTTTACTGAACATTTACCGAGTTGTCAAAAGGATCTCTTTGGAGTAGATTCTATCTAAACAATCATTTTATCCCATTTTTAACTTAAAAGTACTTATTCAGGTGTTAATAACACTGGCTGAAGCAGCAAAGAAAACCATTAGGCTTGATTTCGTCCTTTGATCTGGGTGTATCGCCTATGTCATCACGTTTTGCCATTAAGGAACTAGTACCAGGTGACTCTGGTGGAAAGACAGTGTTCTCAGAAGTGAATATTCTTGAAGGAATCATAGGTTCAGGAGGTGAAACAGTGTAAAGATAGTTTAGGAGCATTTGGATTATTTGGGTGAAGTTGGGTCGGGCATTTGGGTCCTCTTGCCAACATGAAGTAAGAACTAGAGCCAATTCCTCAGGAAGATTTTCTGCACTAGGCCTTACATTCTGAAACCAAAAAGAAGTGCTTCAAATTATCAACTGTATGATGACAACATGTGAGAAATAGGCAAGATCTGTTTACCTTAAAGGCTGCGGCATATGCTGCCTGAAGGTTTGACATGCCTTCAAAAGGAACTTTGTTGTGCAAAAGCTCCCACAACACAATTGCAAAGCTATAAGCATCTACTTTATGGTTGTAATGCTTCTTCTCCCCCTGCCTCAGTGTGACAGTACTATACAACTGCAATTTTGTGTCACTGTAATCAGTTCACAGATGCTCATAAATATGAAGAGAAGACAGAGAAAGCACATCTATTCATGAATATACCTCTGGAGCCATCCAACGGTAAGTTCCTGTTTCAGCGGTCATCATTTCAGTTAATGACTCTTCTCTCGCTAAACCAAAATCTGCTAGCTTGACTGTTTTCTGGTCTTCAGTCAATAGCAAGTTATCTGTATAAAGGAAGAGAAAATAAACTTCATATTCATTATGCAGATGTTTTACACTTGGCCGAGTTATACATTTGAGATAAGGAAGCTTCAGTACTGAACAACTAATAGCTGAATATGAATAAAAATACTCACTTTGTATTGCCATGTCAATTAAGAAGTGTTTTCATATAACTAAATGAACAGTGTTATCAGTAGTAACTTTTGACCAAGGTCAATTATGCATACAAAAACGGTCCATTAGTCCAACTCCCTTTAAAGGACATGTTGAGGTATATTATAATTGATCAATAAACTAGTAACGTTTTAGTGAAGCATTTGGATCAAGGTTTAACTATTAATCAATAGCACTAACTGAAGGGAAGAACCACTAAAAGCTTGATCATTCTAGTATAAATTTTATGATAATATGAACTCAAACATGGCAGATATGACAGAGTTAGAGAGGAGAAGGGGGGGGGGGGGGGGGGGGTTATAGTAAAAATAAGGATAGTGCACATGGATAGACACGACATTATATGACAAGAACAGTGTAGAACAAATCCTAATAGTCATCATCATATATTGCAGTGTTGAAACAATTTTAACTTAATTTAATTTCTTAAGTCCCAAGGAAGATGCTAAATCTATTTGCATATGTACTTAACAACTGGTCAATTCAGTGCCGATAAAACACATACATACAAGAAGAAAAGTAAGAGTCTTCAAAGCTGTTTATGTTTACTTTGACTGTTCTGTAAGATGAAGCAATAACCTAAAGAACAACCATTTCAGTATATTCCTTAAAGACATAGATTCTACACTCTCATAGTGAACGTACTATGCAATCTTAAAAATTGTGATATGAACCTTGGAAGAATCTCACCCCAAAATCTAGCTCATGAGGTAGGAGAGCTCAAAGTCCATGTAAATCCCACACCAGAACCTTATGTTTCTAATGTGGGATTTTAAATCCCATATCTTGAAGTAGGATCGTAACATTCCACCATGCTTTGCAGCCCCGGCACCCATGCGGGTTGGCTTTGTGCTAGCCTTTTACTAGACTTGGGCGAACACTGCAATGCCAGCGTCACAACCCGCGCCGCTCGATTACAATCAGGAGACATAGTGGAAGGTTCTCATATCAATTGGTACGACCTTTCGGAGAACCTCACCCCAAAAGCTAGCTCATGAGGTAGGAGAGCCCAAAGTCATATAAACCTCATACCAGAACCTTATGTTTTGGATGTGGGACTCCAAATCCCATACTTTGGAGTATGATCGTAACAAATTGTTTGTAAGAAATATTTCAAATCAGTTATCTGAGTTTTTTTCTTCTGATAAAAAATATCTGACTCAGGGACAAGTATCAAGAAATGCATGAGTAGTTGATGGAGACATCTACCACAAAATGCCAGGCAATAAGCATATGTGACATCCAGGGATGGGAAGATAATAATTTGAAACCAATGCCCTATTTTACTTTTATTTGTGCATTCAAATTTTGCTAAGAGGTTAGGTAATATGTAAATATAACCACAATTAAAACAAGGAAAAAATAAAGATAGAGTAAAAGAAATATGGGCCGGGCAATTACAAACAAAAAGAACACATTTGAGTATGAAATTTTTATTTAAGGAGGGGAGTCATCAAGCAGATAGTAGAAAGATAGAAGACTTGCCATAAAGAACACTGCTGCTATATGCAACATAATGTAAAAGCAAAGCATACAAGCCTACGTTTACTTGATCTGACTTAAAAAGATCAATTTATTGGGGAAAGAAAGCAAACCAAATTATTACCAGGTTTAAGATCACGGTGGATGATCCCATGAGAATGTAGGCACTCCATAGCACGTGCAATATCAAGTGCAAAACCAATGGCAACATGTGTATCCAAGCATTTGGGGCGCAAGTTAAGCAAATACTTCCGCAATGTTCCTCCCATTAACAGCTCAGTGACTATCACCATTACAGGCTCCTTGCAGGCACCAATAAACTATTGAGAAACAGAGTGGTAATATTTACTGTCAGCTGTTGGAAACATGCCATAAAACAAGTAGTCCTTGTTATATGATATAGCTATTTTTACTACAATAACATACACCCTCTCAAGGGACACGAATCAGTGAGAGCCTAAGCCAAATTCCCACCTTCACCAAGTTCTTATGTTGCACTCTAGACAACATAGCCACCTCCCTTGCAAAGCGACCTTCTCTCTTGGCAATGTCTTCTACGGTTTCTCCTTTATGTACAATTTTAATAGCAACAGTCTGGTTTTTATATCTGAAACGAACCCAATATAAGAATTAAGAGAACTGATAAAACTACAAACTTAATAAAAAAAGAAATAACAATTCAAAAACAACTACTAAGATCAAAGAAGCATAATTCAGGTCCATTAGTGATTGTTGCATAAAGTAAAGCTGAAGTTCAACCAAACTTCAAAGTAACTAACTATGTAACATGTAGACTGAGCAACACATTAAGCTATAAAGTGTGATGCTTTACAAATCACGCACATGACAACACAGGATGCACTAATTCTCTCAAAGAAAAATCAATAATCACAAATCCAGAAGCAAATGACACCCAACCCAAACAACAGGTTTCACAAATGCAATTGCTCATTAGGTAAAGATAGAAAATTTAACTTTGTATAAAACCAAATAGCAAATGGGAATTAAAGATACAAACTTTCCCTCGTAGACTATGGCATGAGCTCCCTCTCCAATCCGTGGCCCAACATAGAGATGTTTAGGATCAATGAGGCATTTAGGGTCCAATCTGAACTCATCAACTGAGTAGAACCTATCTCCAGATTCCATTATTAATTTTATTTTATTTTTAACTGCAATGGGAAAAATGCTGAAACCCTACATGAGCCAGTTAAGTCTCAAGATTGGTAAGAGTTAGTTTTCAAAGTGAAATCAGAGAGAAGAGAAGCCTAGAAGGTAACCATTGAAGATTGAATTGAACAGGAAATGGATAAGGTGACATGAAACGGAGAAGTAAAGTAGACATGCTCTGAAATGTGTTCTGAAGCTCAGAACCACATCTCAAAAAAGTGAGAGGCTCGGAGACCAAAGACCAAAACTCATCAGATTGATGTTCTACATTTCCTTGGGAGACAAAAGCATGGAACCCACAAGCTTGAAAGAGATAGAGATAGAGATAGAGTCACAACAAAAGAAAGCAAAGCCCAAAGCCCAAATAGAATTTTGGAAAATTCATGGGGAAAAGAGAAGAATCCCCACAGAGGGGAATGTGGAAAACAACCAATTACCATGCCCCCAACACTATTCAACGAAGTAGCTTTAAATCTGGTTTCTTTCATATCTTATTCAAGGTTTTTATGAAAGTTATGTAGTAGAAAAATTGATGATGTTATGTTATAGAGATTTGTTTTGCGTGTCATAGTTTGTTTTTTTTTTTTTTGCTTCAAAAATTGCGGGACCCATAAAATGTTGTGTGTGTAGAAAATTTTTTCTGATCATGTTACATGATGAATGCAAATCCACTTATTTAAATATAAGATATGATAGTATCTCTATTTTTTTATGTCTACTTTATATGTTTTTTTTTTAATATTATTATATGAAAATCTTAATTAATTTTTCTCTCTTCTTGTTCTTCTCATCTAACAGTATTATAAAAGAATACATAGAATTGGCAAAAAAAAATTGTAAGCATCCCTTTAAATATATATTTTTTCATTTAAATAGGCATAATTTGATATTATTTTAAGTAAAAAAGTATTTTGAATCTTTGATACATATTTATTGATTTTTTATATTATTTTCTTCATAATACTTCCTCTTATTCTTTTTCTTTTAATTTTATAGAGAAGAGAAAAAATAAAAGATCAATCAATAAATATAGGGATAGGTTATATTTATAAACTTTTTTATTTACAGACTACACTATGTATTACGGGGAGTACACACTTAAGTGTTTGTACTTTCCGAAATACATAGTATAGTTTATAAACAAAAAATTATAAATATAACATTGCTCATATATATATATATATATATATATATATATATATATATATGAGAAAAATATTTTTCAAACAGCTTGAAATAAGTTTATCTCCGGCTACTCCGAAACTACGTCGTTTTATTTATTTATTTTCTTATATTAATTGATTCACTTTTGAATGGTTATAATTCTCTTTTTCTCTCTTTTCTTTTATCACCATTGATCCATCTTTGTACGGTTATGATTTAATAGTCGGAGATAAAATTATCTCAAGCAGCTTGAGAAACGATCAGCCATATATAAATATAAATATATATATATATATATATATATATATATATATATATATATATACCAAAATATGATTTAAAATAATGTAAAGTTGTTACAAACTCTTTTTTAAAAAAATATACTGATAAGAAATTTCAGTAATTTATTAATAGATATTATAATTTAAAGATAAAACTCATAAAATAATAATTTTAAATGCTAATAGTTAAATGAACCATTCATATTTAGATGAGAGGTTCTAATAAGTAAACATGTTTTTCTCTAATTTAAACTTGAAGAGAAGATATTTACCAAAAAAAAACCTTGATGAGGCGATCATTCCATAATGATTTAGCAGCAGTTGATGATCATAAAAGTTGAATGAATTTGGTTTATTTAATCAGTGTTGGCACAGAACGTCACTCTTGATCTGCAGACAGAATCATGATTCAGTTAAAAGGATTGAGACAATCCATAATGCATTAATTAATAAATAAAGAATAGAAAGGAAGACGGAAGAAGTTTTTTTTTTTTTTTTTATTCATTTGGGAGAAGAAAAGAAAGAAAGAAAGAGAGGAGTAATGTAATAAATAATCAAGAGCACGTGGAGACTGACCTTGTCAACATGGGTACACTCGCGGAGTAGCGCTGCATAAGCAAATTTAGGGGTGTCAATCACACGCAAGTCGATCCGCGACACGACACGAAAATTCGTGTTCGGGTTGACCCGAAAAAAAATTTGTGTCGTGTTTGTGTTAGGAAAAATAACACGTAAAAAATTCGTGTCGTGTTCGTGTTGAGGTATTCGTGATCGTGTCAACTCATATTTTTTTTAAATTATTTTTTTTATTTTTGAACCATTTTTTTAAATTTTGTTGTCAATTACCATTTTGGCCCTTATTTTGCGTGTTATTCGTGTCATGTCGTGTCAACATGCAAAAAATTTGTGTCGTGTCAGTGTTGAAGATTTTGACACGAACAAAAATTCGTATCGTGTTCGGGTTGATGTATTCGTGTCGTGTCAAATTCGTGTCGTGTCAACCCGTTTTGACATCCCTAAGCAAATCCCATACGGACTAGGTGACGTTTGTTTTAGGTTATTTCAAAACTTTTTTATGCACATGAGATTGGCAAATTGTGTAAGTCATATTTGATATAGAGATCCTCAAGCATCACAGACACAGATGCAGGAACAGTGACCAAAATGTCACTGTTCCCCAACTTTTTTACCTAAATGCCACGCGAACAGTGTTATTTTCCAATCTGCCACGTGAGCGAGTTCGCTACAGTGCCCAACGAACTCGATTGGATGACGTGTCACATTTTTAGTGGACACAGTACCAAGTTCGCTACTCCCAGTAGCGAACTTGGTTGGAATGTCAGCTTTTTTCAATTAAAAAGTCCAACCAACAGTAGCGAACTTGGTACTGTGCCCACTAAAAACGTGACACATCATCTAATCGAGTTCGATGTGCACTGTAGCGAACTCGCTCACGTGGTATATTGGGAAATAACACTGTTCGCGTGACATTTAGGTAAAAAAGTTGGTAAAATGTGACATTTTGGTCGGTGTCCCCACAGATGCATAGCATTTGAAAATTGTTTGCAAAAATTACTGTTTAGAAAGATAATTTAGATATGGTATTTGTAGTTGATCAGCTAAATGGGCAAAAAGGGAACTAAGGATGCAGACTAAAATACCTTCATCAGTAAAAAAGAAGAAGGGTATTTTAGTATTTTTAATCAATTATCTCGTCAATATTTTACTTTCAACCAAACATACATTCAGAAAATTTGATCCAATTTTTTCAGTAATATTTCAGCATACCAAACATTTTTTTTCATAATATTTCTAGTAATTCTATTTTTCTAGTGAAATTTTTTTTCTCCCGAACCAAACACTCCAAAGTTAAACGAGAATGGATTTTCGTGTGTTTTTCTCGTACAAGGTCATTGTGATTAGATAGATAAAAAAAAAAAAAAAATCTTAATGATGGCTCCACAATGGTTGAGTTGTTTAAGAAGTTTATATTTATATCCTTTGCATCATGGTGTCATATTAAAATTTCACAAAATATATTTCATTTCTAAAGTTATTTTGGGTTATTCGTAAAAGTAAGGATCGTATAATAGAGTAAGAATACAATTTTTACAAGAATGACAGTTTATTTATTGTTAATTACTAACTGATTATTTAATAAATTATTTTAAATGTAACATCCTCTATAACTAACTAATATAGAGAATATCACATTATTTCTTTTATATATTTTATTATGATAATAATAACAAGAAAAATAAACTCAAGAAAAGTAACTGATTATACTAACACCCTTCATTATTTAAATATAAATATAAGTTAGTACATAGCCTTTTACATTCTAAATATTTTACAATAAAGTGTATGTCAAACTATTTTACATCATTTCTATACACGTATTAGATTCCTAATTACTTAAGGTTACAAAATTTATTCAGTACCTAAGTATCATTTTAATCTAACCTATAAGTATAAGTCTCCATATTGTCTAGACAGAAATTTGCTACAACTCCTCGGTTTTCAATTATTATATAAAATTTTGATCGATCTTCATAAAGATAAACAGCAACAGCCCATCCTTCGTCGGACAAGTATAGATTAGGCATGATGATTTTCTGGAAAGGTTATCACAAAATAAATAAATGTGAGAAACATCTCAGTAATATCAAGGTTTTATAACTATAACCATTTTTCTCAAGTAATTTCATAAAAATAAAATAATGTCATAAATAATAATAAATAATAGATTGTATAATATTTAACTGAAACTAATTAAGTCTCAATTTTGTGGGTCTCTGCACGTGAAATAGTCTGATTTGCAGAGCTCAAACCAAATAAGGCATTCCTTACAAATATACCATTTGATCTCAAACTTTGTAGATCAGTTCACAGCAGCATCATACAGTTAAAATTTATATATTTTATTAACATTCTTTGGTACCAAAAAAATTATCAATCTTATATCAAACTCTATAAAACTAATACTTTAAATCAAAACAACAGAGAAACAATGATACTGAAGATAAAAAGAAAGCTTAAAACAAAATTTTAAAGGAAAAATGACGAAGTAAAAATATGATTTCAGTTTTTTCTTTAAATAACAACTAAAAAAACAAAGAAAAGATGTAAGAGAATGAGTTATTATTTCTCTCAATATAACCTTCCACATTATTTTGTTCTCTCTTCCCCTTTCTTTTTTCTTTCGAATTCTGCTTTCTATTTCCTTTCTTTCTCTTTTGTTTTTTTTTTTTTTTGTTCTCCGTTTCCGTCAAGTAATATATATATATATATATATATATATATATATATATATATATATATATATATCGTGTAACAAAAGAATTTTAATCGTTAGATTTTAGTTAAGCTCTAACGAAACAAAATAAAAATCCTAACGAAGTAACCATGACTTTGCAGATAAAATCTTACTAACTGTCGTCATATAAGTATCATCATCAAAATTTTCTGAGTAGACGTGTTATTGTCACGTTAATATATATATGGGTTTTATTATTCTACTTCAATATAAGATAGGTATCTTATGTTGCAGAGATAAAATTGGTGGGTCCCACCATTACAAGAAAAAAAGAAAAATGTGAGGTGCGGAAATCGAAATGAGAGAGTAGGAGTGAAGTAATTTTATGTAAAAGGAGAGTAATATTTCCCTATATATATACTCTGAAACAAGGATACGTGTTTTTTGAAAAAAAATGCGTGTCGGACACCGACACGTTCCGACACGCGTCCGACACGCAGTTGACTTTTTGGGACACGTTGACTAGAGGGACACGCGAATTTGACCGAATCGGACACGCAGTCAACGTATATAGACACGTTTTG